GCACAGGTCTGTCTGATTCTAAAACCCAGGCCTCTCCCACCATCCCCGCTGCCTCTCCAGAGCCGGCTGGTGAGGTAGGCTGGGAGGCTGGCTGCAGGGTGGGGTGCTACCTCCCCCATGTCTCGTTCCCCAGCGGTTCTGGCTGCTCCTCCTGACCCGGGGCCTGGTGGGGGTCGGGGAGGCCAGTTACTCCACCATCGCGCCCACTCTCATCGCTGACCTCTTCGTGGCAGACCAGCGGAGTCGGATGCTCAGCGTCTTCTACTTTGCCATCCCAGTGGGCAGGTGAGTGGGCCTTGGGCCTGATGGGGAGGCAGAAGGGCCTGGCGTGGGGGACGCGACTGACCAGCTGTCTCCTCTCCTCTCCCACTCCCTTCCCCCAGTGGTCTGGGTTACATTGCAGGCTCCAAAGTGAAGGATGTGGCCGGGGACTGGCACTGGGCTCTGAGGGTGAGTCTGGTCACGGCCTGCCGAAGGTCAGGAACATTCTCACTGATCCCCGTTTCCTACCTTCAGACACCCCCTCTTTTGAGGCAGTCTCACTCTTGCAAGCCTTCAGGAAGCCTGGCTGCCCTCACCACGAAGCCATGTGCTAGAACTCTTGGTTGCAGGTGACAGAAGCCCATTGAAAAACTGTAAGCCCCAAAATGGGACTTTCTTGGCTCTCATAATGGAAAGTCCCAGGGTGAGCTTCAGGTAAAGCTGGATCCAGGACTCACCCACTGTCACAGGAATTTGATCATCCTTTTCTCAGCTCTGCTTTCCTCTGTGTTAACTTTATTCTCAAGCAAGGGAAAGCTCCACATGTTTGTATTCCTATTTAGAAGCATCAGCACCCTGGATCCTTGGGCAGTAGTCCTACATGGTGTCTGATTAAATGAACATGGGTCACATGCCTGCCACTGAATCAGTCACTGAGTCTGGGGAGGGTAACACTACTCTTGTTGGCCAAGTCTGGATTACAAGCCCCGCCCTGTTTGAACTACATGGATTGAGAGAAGGCAGAGTGGTTTCCTAGAAGAAAATTAGAGTACTGTTACCAAAGAGGGAGCAGCTAGGCTTGCAGACACGGGGCCCCTAGTGGCATTCGCCCCTCCCCCCAGTTGTAAGTTCAGCTTCCTTGAGCAGGCACTCACCTGGCTGTTTGAGGTCTTGAGGCCTGAGTTGCCTTAATACCCCCTCACTTTCTCCCAGCCCCAGGTTGAGTGTGTCCCTCCCTGTGCCTGCCCTGAAGCCCACTCTTCCCCCAGGTGACACCAGGTCTAGGAGTGGTGGCTGTTCTGCTGCTGTTCCTAGTAGTACGGGAGCCGCCGAGGGGAGCTGTGGAGCGCCACTCAGACTCGCCGCCCCTGAGCCCCACCTCATGGTGGGCAGATCTGAGGGCTCTGGCAAGAAAGTGAGTTTAGTTCCATTCTCAGCCAACATCTGAGGCCCCCAGGGAGGCCTGACATCTAGTTTGAGATTTAGTGGGCGTGGTCTTTGTTTTCTCGTTATGCCAGCTGGCTTTACCTCAGGGCCTGGAATTCAGTCACCACTGCCTCCTTGTGGCAGCAGCTTGAATTACAGGCCCAGATCCTGGGCACCAGGACAGCCTCCACCCGGGGCCCAGACCTTATTAAAATAAGTCAGGAAGGGAGAACAGAGGTCCCCTACCCCAACACCTCAGTGGAGTCTGACTTCTCCTCCCAACTGTCTGCAGTCCCAGTTTCATCCTGTCTTCCCTTGGCTTCACTGCTGTGGCCTTCGTCACGGGCTCCCTGGCTCTTTGGGCTCCTGCCTTCTTGCTGCGTTCCCGTGTGGTCTTGGGGGAGACCCCACCCTGCCTTCCTGGAGACTCCTGCTCTTCCTCTGACAGGTACCCAGATTGGGGCTGTGCTGGGTGGCCTGCAAGCGGCAGGGGATGGAGTGCAGAGAGTCTGCGATTCAGACTCAGGCAAGGAAAGTTTGAGCCCCAACCCCAAAGCTACTTCCTCTCCCAGAGTCTCAGTGTCCTGGTCTGGGAAACAGGGATGGGGTGACGCCTTCCTCTTGGAGCTTAGTGAACTGTGGGGTGCTGTGCCTGGATAGATCTGAGCTGTGAGGGTGGCTGGGATGGACCATCTTCCTCTCCAGGCCGTGGGGGTGAGGCTAGGGGGCTTTGCAGCCAGAAGGTCTAGCCCGCACCCCCTCCACTCCCCCCAGCCTCATCTTCGGGCTCATCACCTGCGTGACTGGCGTCCTGGGTGTGGGCCTGGGCGTGGAGGTCAGCCGCCACCTCCGCCGCTCCAACCCCCGGGCTGACCCGCTTGTCTGTGCTGCTGGCCTCCTGGGCTCCACACCCTTCCTCTTCCTGTCCCTCGCCTGTGCCCGTGGTAGCATCGTGGCCACCTATGTGAGTAGCCAGGAGGTATCAAGGGGGGTGTTCCGGGTACAGGGTGGAGGAACGGGGCACTAGGGCAGGACTGGGGTCAGCCAGCATGGTGGTTCAGAGCCGACTCTGGAGCAGGAATGCCCAGCTTTGCATCTCAGCTCCAGCCTTTCCCAGCTGTGTGACATTGGGCAAGTACTTAACCTCTGTGCTGGGTTTCATCACCTGTAAAATGGGAGTGATAGTAGCACCTGTTGTGAGAATTAAATGTGTTAACAGATGGGCCTGGTACCTGGTAAACCCTCCATGTATTTGCTCTTCTTGTGATGAGGACCCCCCCTCATCCCCCAGATTTTCATCTTTATTGGAGAGACACTGCTATCCATGAACTGGGCCATTGTGGCTGACATTCTGCTGGTGAGTAGCCGGGCCGCTCCAGGGTTAGCCCAGAGGCTAATGAGAGCAGGGAGTGGGGGCAGCAGGCCTCACTTTCCTTGAATTGTGGCCTTGACCTCATCTTCAAAACCAGCCCCAGACTGACTTCAGAGTCCAGCCCCAGACGGGTCTGTAGCCTTCCCCCCAGTCACACCTCTGAGCCAGGGTTCACCTCTGACCTCAGCCTAGGCTGAGCCTTGGCCTTGTCCTCAGCCTCTGCCTCCTGCCCCTCCTCCCCCCAGTACGTGGTGATCCCCACACGACGCTCCACCGCCGAGGCCTTCCAGATTGTGCTGTCCCACCTGTTGGGTGATGCTGGGAGCCCCTACCTCATTGGCGTGGTGAGCACTGCCCCTTGGCCGGGCCTGGGGTGGGGGTTGGGGGGCCCTGCATTCCTAGCACCGGCTGGTGGTCACTGGCCTGAGCCTGGGCCACATTGGAAGGTCCCAGTTAGGGTCTGCGCCCTCTGTGCCAGGCCCCCTCACCTTGGGTCCTCAACTAGTCAGGAAGGGTTTTGTCCTGGCAGATGCCCACAGTGAGGCCGTGGAGCTCGCCTGGCGGACCAGCCCTTCTGCCCTTCCTGGCTCCAGGCTTTGTTCTCTGGAGTTTGGGGGCTCTCTCTCCCTGACCCCGTCCCCTGGCCTTCCTCTCCTGTCTCCGGCAGATCTCCGACCGCCTCCGCCGGCGCTGGCCCCCCTCCTTCTTGTCTGAGTTCCGGGCCTTGCAGTTCTCACTCATGCTCTGCGCCTTCGTCGGGGCGCTGGGGGGTGCGGCCTTCCTGGGCACCGCTCTCTTCATTGAGGGCGACCGCCAGCGAGCCCACCTGCACGTGCAGGGTCAGTTGCGCCTTCCCTCTGTCCATCCACAGCTCCTTGCCCTGCTTGTCCATCCGTCCGTGTGCTCGGTCCTGTGTGTCTGTCATCCCTCAGTCCACAGCCCTCCCCTCATGCGGCTTCAGCTCTGCCTGTCCAACAAGCTGATGCCCCTGTGTCCATAGCCCGGGTGGCTCTGCTGCCCAGTCCATTGCCCGCTGCCTGTCGGTCCCCTCCCTGGCTTTGTGTCTATCTTTGCCTCCAGCCCTGGCTCTGACCCCTTCCCGGCAGGTCTGCTGCATGAGACAGGGCCCGCAGATGACCGTATCGTGGTGCCCCAGCGAGGCCGCCCCACCCGGGTCCCCGTGTCCAGTGTGCTCATCTGAGGGGTTGTTGCTCGCCCACCTGCACACCTACCCCAGGAGGTGCCCGGGCCCAAACCCACAGCCTGGCCCAGCTTCTGGGAGGGGCCTTGGGCCATGTTCCAGCTCCTAGACACTACACAGGCAGCCAAGCAGGGGGCAGGGGGGTCCGGGAATGGGGTCCCCCTCCACTGGAGCTGCCCCAGGGGCTCGGTGCTATTTGTACCTAAATAAAATTTATAGCCAGACCCCAAATGCCTGCTGAGTCTCTCTCGGTGCTAGTGATCTCTGACCTCTGGACTGCAGGGGATGCCATGTCTGCAGCCCCAGGACCCCCTGGGGGCTGTTGGGTCACTCCTGTGGGGCCTTGGGCAAATCCCTGCCCTTCGGGGCTGGGTGAATGAGAGGGTGGAGTGAGCTGGCTCAGTGTGATGGTGAGTCACGCCCACGTTTCCCCCAGAGCCCGCCCCTCTTGGCAGGCTGGCGGGTGGGGGGGGGGCACTGCCTTGTGCCCCTCGGGGATTCCTGGTGTCAGAACCTCCCTCCCTGCTGCCTCCTCGAGCCGCGGCTGAAGGCTGCGGCTGCTGGCCTGCCAGCCTTCCCTCCTGCCACTGGTATAGTTGCCTCTTGTCCTGGAGGCCGGCAGAGCCTTCTTGAGGGCCTGGGGTGGCTCATCGGGCCTCCTCCCCCTCCCCACTGTCTGGGTGGGGGTGGGAAGGGGGCGGGTGCAGCTGGCTGAGGAGCCCGATGATTTCCTGCCCTCACCCAGCGCTCACCACAGCTTCCTGCCGCAGGCGGGCGGGCGAGGAGGAGAGGCGGGCGCCAAGCCGAGGGGCAGGTAGGACTGGGGTGCAGGGTCCGCGCAGGGTGGCTGGTGCCCCAGACTCCAGTCAAGGCCCTGGCCTGACCGCCTGGGGATCAAGGGTCTTCCAGATCCAGCATTGACCCCCACTCAGTCCAGTGAGAGGAGGGGATCCAGGGCCCCCAAGGAGGGCACAGCTGTCCCCACCTGGCTCCTGCCTGGTGCCCACTGGTCCCGGCACCTTGCTGGCCCAGTCCTCGCCCTGCTGCAGCTCTGCCCCTGAGGGGCGTGCGGCGAGCAGCCAGGCCTGGTCCAAGCTCTCTTCTGCAGATGGAGGCGGCCATCCTGATCCCCTCCGTGCTGGGACCCCTGCTGCTGCCTCTCTTGGCCGTGTTGCTGATGGCACTGTGTGTGCGCTGCCGAGAGCTGCCAGGTGAGCGTGAGGTGGCGGGGTGGCCAGGTGCTCGGACACACTGACAGGGCTCCTCACCCTGGCCCCAACCCCTTGCTCCGTCTTTAACTGTCCCTAACTCTGTCCTGCACACGGAGATACGGAGAGCCCCGGCCTCCATCACCGTTTCCCCTTGTCACCCCCTTTTCCTGTCTCTCTTTTCCAGGCTCATATGACAGTGCTGCCTCTGATAGGTGAGTCGCCCCCCGACCCTGTGTCTGTCTACCTCAATACTCATGCGGGGCTGGGCTGGGGGGCTGGCTGGGCCTCTCCCGGCCCTTCCCCTAGCTGTGTGTTTCCTGCCAGCTTGACCCCGAGCAGCATCGTGATCAAACGGCCTCGTGAGTACACGGGGCGTCTCCTCCCTCGAGTAGGGGAGAGGGTCCCCGGGGGTGTGAGAGAGTGTGTGCCTTTGTTCAGGTTATCCCCCACTGTGGCGTCCACATGGCCTTGACCTGAGCTGGGGATGGGGAGGGAGATGGGTGGCCTCAGGCCTGTCCAGGGGTGTCAGGGGTTAACCTGCCCTTTGAGGCCTCGAGGATGGTAGGGGCATGAGGTTGGAGTCATTCCTTCAGCTTGGTCCTGTGTCCTCAGCCACGCTCGCCCCATGGCCACCGGCCGCTTCCTACCCGCCTGTTACCTCCTTCCCACCCCTGAGCCAGCCAGACCTGCTCCCCATCCCGTAAGTAGCCCGTTCCTCTCCAGAGTCTCCTCTTTACCCCTCACCTCCTTGGATTGGGGCCTCTTTCTCTGTTGTTACCCCTCTTGCCCCAGAGCCCCACTCCAGCATAACCTCTGACCTTTGACTCCCAGGAGATCCCCACAGCCCCCCGGGGGCTCCCACCGCATGCCATCTTCCCGGCAAGGCTCAGATGGTGGTAAGCGTGGAGCGGCCTGGGGGGCTGGGGCTGTACATAGGCTAGGCCCCGCCTGAGCTGACTCAGTCTCCCTTACTCTCTCTCTGCAGCCAACAGTGTGGCGAGCTATGAGAACGAGGGTGCTTCTGGAACCCCAGGTGCCGTGGCTAGGGGGAGGCTAAGGCCTGCCCCAGGCTTTGCCGACCCCCGTGTCGTTACCCCAGAGCCAGCCTGTGAGGGCGCAGATGAAGATGAGGATGAGGAGGACTGTCACAACGAGGGCTACTTGTGAGTTGCCCGGCGGGAGGTGGGGGCTGCGGCCGGGGGTCCGTGCTCACACACCCCTTGACTTCCCTACAGAGTGGTGCTTCCTGACACTGTCCCAGCCACCGGCACCGCCATCCCGCCACCTCCTGCGTCCAAAAACCCCGGCCTCCGAGACAGTGCCTTCTCCAGTGAGTCGGCCATTTCTGACCCCTCCCTGGCCCCTCCATGCTGGGGCCCCTCCCCTCCTCCTTCTCCTGTTATTTCTTTGATGCTTGTTACCCTCCATTTTCTCTTCTCTCTCTTTCTAGAACTCCTGTTCTTCAGAGAGTGGACTTCCTGCTCCGATCTTCTCATTTTCTTACTTTTTCTCTTCTCTTTCCTATCTTTTTGTCTTTTCCTTTTATTGTTGGTGAGATTTCCTTGACTTTCTTCTTCTTTTGACTCCGTTCCTTGACTCTGCTCTTTTATGTTCTCTCTTCTATCTGAAAGTTCTTTGTTGATCTCTGACTGTTCCTTTTTCATAGCCTCCTGTTCTTGTTTCATGGAGGCAGTATCATTTTGTACATTTCTAAGGGTATTGATTATACATTTTGCGGGGGGCAGTTGTTTTGGAAGTGTTCTTCTGCTTCCTGCATTGCTTTGGTTTCCTTGGAGCTGCTGTTCCCCCTTCACTTTGGTCTCATCCTGCCTGTGAGAGGCTTTCCTCAATGTCTGGTGGTCTTCAGGGTTCTGTTACTCTCCTCTCTCTCTGTACTCGCTCTGCGCCACCCCTTCTACATCCTGGCTTCATTTGCCATACAGATTCCCAGTGCCTCTCTCCTGAGCTCCAGATCACTTGTCCAAGTGCTTCTTTTCATTCATTCATTCATTCGTTTACTCACTCATTCATTCATTGTATTCACTGTGTGCCTCTGATACAACAGCTCATGAGGTAGAGTCATGATAAAAGAGCTGATGTTTGTTGAGGGCCTACCACATGCCCTACTGAGAGTTTTCCATGTGTTAACTTATTAAACCTCACAATGCCCAGGTGCTGCTGTGCCTGCCCCTTCCCCTCCTGGCCTCCCTTGTCCCGTCTGTACAATGGCAGCACTTACTGTATGACAGGCCCCGTTTTAGCATTCACTGCCATAATCCTCAAAACACTCCACGAGGTGGGTGCTGTTACTTGCCCTATTTTACAGATGAGAAAACTGAGGCCCAGAGACGTTAGGTAGCTTGTCTGAGGTTCCAGAGTTAGTTAGTGCTGGAGCTGGATTTGGACCTGGGCAGTCTGGCTCCAGAGCTGCCTTTTCCATGTCCTCACAGAGAAACAAGTCAATACATAAATGAACAAGATACTGTCAACGGCAATAGGTGCTATGAAGGGACTAAGACAGGAGTGGGGGGCAGGGCAGGCCTGGCCGGGGAAGCAGGGCCAGCTGGGCCAACAGCGCCTCTGACCTGGCCCAGCCCTGAGTGTCGTCTCCGCCTCCATACATGCCCCCCAGCCCGGCCACTCTGAGCTGCTCCCTGTCCCTGCTCTCCAACCTGGGGGATGTGCTGGGGTCTGTCTTCTGGTTCTCCTCTCTCCCACAATTCCATTCCCCCTAATCAATTCTGGTCAAGTTGCCCTGCTTCTCTCCATTCCATGGCCTTTGCCCTCATCCAGCCACTGGCATCGCTGGTCCAGAGGTCCCTCCCTGTGTTCCTCTGGGGCCGCCTTTGGGGACGGGTCTCTGGGCGTGCGTGTGCAGGAGTCTCGGGCTGGTTGTGTCGAAAGTCTTTGGTGGCTGCGGTTGGGAGCCCCTGGGTGTCTGCGCTCGGGGGCCCTGGGAAGCTGTCCTTGAGGGCTCTGGGTAACGGTGCGGGGGGGCTCCACTGGTTTTCCTGCAGTGGAGTCGGGGGAAGATTATGTGAACGTTCCTGAGAGTGAGGAGAGTGCAGAGGCGTCTCTGGGTGAGTGGCTGGTGTCCCCCTGGTGCCCTCCTAGGGTCCACCTTCTCTCCTTTACCCTCAGCCCCGCCATCCCACCCTCACTCTCACTGTGGCCGGGCCCCAGCCCTGGGGGTGCCCACAGTCCCCTCTGTGTCTCCCTCACCCTCTATCTGGATGTCCTCCTGCTGCTTTCGGTGTGGCCGTCCCTCCTTCTGACCTGTCCCCGCAGATGGGAGCCGGGAGTACGTGAACGTGTCCCAGGAGCTGCAGCCCACAGCGAGGCCTGAGCCTGGTGTGTGCTGGGGGCGGTGGGGGCAGAGGCTGGGGGGGCTGCCTGGAGGGATGGTTTGCGAGCTGAGACCAACCTCCCCCCCCCACAGCCGCATGGAGAGCCCGGGAGGCGGAGGATGAGGAAGAGGGAGCTCCAGATTACGAGAATCTGTAGGAGCTTAACCGAGAGCCTGGTGAGAGGCCCTGCCCAGCCCGCCCTGCCCTGCCCCTCCTCCCCCACCCCTCCTCGCCACCTCAGCCCTGTCCTCTCTGACTCTGGGGACCTCTCTGACCCCATAACCCTTCCCCCTCTGACTCCATAACTCTATTGTGTTTCAGTGTGAGGCGTGCCTGCCTGGAACCAGCCTCGCCTGGGACGGCTGAGCTGGGCAGCTGGCAGTGGCTCTGGGGGGCCCCTTGGCACCCTGCCCTGGCTCCAGTCTGACTGCAGCCTGAGAATTTCTCCCCTAACTTATTGTCACTTTGGGGTCCAGTCTGTGTGCCCCCAACACTCTGCACCTTCTGACGCAGCCTGAGAATGAACTACCCTGGCCCCAGCGCTACTCCGTAATAGAATAAAGGCTGGTGTGGTCTGTAGTGCTTTTGGCTTCAGGGGGCCCAGTGGGTTGGAGTAAGGGTGAGGGTGGGCTGTGCCTGAGGACTGCATGTGAGTGTCTGTGTATGTGTCTGTGGGTGTCCGTCCTCCCCAGGCCCTTCGTGCTCCCGAGGGTCCTGCCCAGGTACTGTGTGAGTGACAGCGTGAGTGATGGCGAGGACACGTCGCCTGAGTCAGGCACGTCTGGCCCGGGCCGGCACTTCTGGGGCTCAGATGCACGTCCCCCGAGGTAGCCCACGGAGACGGCAGAGGATGGCTGCAATGAGGGAGAGCGGGGCTTGGGGAAGCGCTGGGCGCGGAGTGAAGGTCTGGAGCGGGACCCGTTCCCGCTGGTCCCCAGCTTCTCCATCTTTAAAACAAGGGGATGGACTTGACCTCAGAGGGCTTTCTTAATTCTTACCTTTTGTGGTTCTCAATAAAACGGAACTTAGAAATGACCTGAGCAACTGGAAAAGTTGATGTGCAGCACAGCATTTTTCAGACTTGGGTGTGTAGACGACGCACCTGGAGTCTCCCTCAGATGCAGATTCTAGTTCAGTCGGCTTGGAACGGGGCCTGAGAGTCTGCATTTCTCAGGAGCCCCCAGATGGTTCTGATACTGCTGCTCCGAGAACCACACTTGGAGCGGTTCTGAAGTGGCAGCTTCTGGTGGATGCCCGGTCACTGTGCTTGGCTCTGGTGTGGGTGTGTGGCCTAACCTGGGCCAGTGAGGACCCGCCCTGGGACCTGGGCAGGAAGTGTTGGGAAGAAGCTCTTTTTGTTCGTGGCCGTTGTTAGGCTGGAATAGTGTAGTCCCGGACCCCCCACTTGGAGAGCCTGCCCAAGAGTGAGGCCAGCCTGGGGGAGAGCGTGGCCCCCTGATGGACAGGGCCGGTGTCCTGATGATGTCAGAACGCCCAGATCCGGTCACACCTGCAGCGACACCCCTCAGACTTCCCAGTTGTGCAGCCCAATAAATTACCAATTTTCTTCAACCGGCTTGACTTAGGGTTTCTGTCACATACAACCACGGTAGTCCTGAGTGATACACAAAGTGCTGGCTCCTCTGTGGAGCGCTTGCCACATTCCCGTGCTCATCTCATGTAATTTCCATCTCTCTCCTATTGTCGGTTACTGTGGGCATCTCCTTTTCACAGGTGAGGAAACAGGCTGCCCAGAGGCACACAGGCAAAGTGGCACGTCTGGGATTAGCTCTGTCGCCTCCAGAGTTACTGCCGCCAGTAACTTGTCTGGGTGTCGTGCGGGGTGCTGGCTGCCCCAACCCAGGGGCTCGTAAGCGGCCCCATGGGAGAAGTGGGGGAGGGAGGTCTGGGGAGGGGACTGGACAGGCTGGACGTCAACAAGTGGAGTTAAATTGTATTATTTAGAGGAAATAGAAAAGAGCAGAGGCATCTTTGTACCTGGGCTGAGGGACAGAGAACAGTGTACCAAAAAGGTATGTTGGTATAACCCCCTTGGAGAAGAATCTAGCGACAGCAGTAAAGCTGAAGATGGCATGTCCCTTTACCTAGCAAATTCGTGGGTGTAAACCCTGACAACTAGCACTCGGGCTAACGGGGTGGGTACAAGAGGCTCAGGCCAGCACTGTCATGGCTGGAAATAGCAGATGGCCATCTCCGGGAGAATGGACAGAGGAGCCGCCATCCAGCCACAGCCCGGATACTCACCAGCAGGGGAAAACGAGTGAATGGGAGCAACACCTATGAGCACAGATAAATATCACCAACAGCGTGTGGAGTGAGAAAAAGAAAAGTTGTTTTATTTACATAAATTGAAAAACATGAAAAAAACTGTAGATATTGTTCAGAGATATGCATATATGTAAGGGTATCAAGATATAGGCAAAGGAATGAGGAATACCAGATTGAGGAGAGCGGTGACCGGTGACCGTGGGGTGGAGGGGGAGGAATAATTGGGAAGTTCAGGAAGGCCTCAGGGGTACGTGTACTGTCTTATTCTTAAGCAGGGTACACAGGTATTTGATGTATGATTCTTTTAAGAGTTTGCATATGTGAATTTAGGAGACAGTAAACGGGAGGCTCAGAGTTGCTGGTCTGTCTGTGCCAAGTGAGTGAGTCGCATATGGTGCTCTAGGCCTTAGGAGCAGCATATGCAAAAGCCCTGAGGTGGGGACAGTGAGAAGGCTGGTGGAGTAATCCACATGAGAAGTCGTGATGGGCTAGCCAGAGAAGGGGCAGGGGCAATGGAAAGAGGTGGTGGAATGAGGAGATGTTTGAGAGGCAGAAGCAAGGGAAGTGGTGACAGGTTGGCTGTGGTCTCTGAGGCGTGGGGAAGTCCAAGGTGTCTCTGGTCCTTGCCTTGGTGGATTGGAGGCGGGGGGCGTTCCCTGAGGCTCTAAGCAGATTCCCATTTGTGTTTCTTGGACCAGGCAAGAGGATGTGTCTTTATTTCCACCAGTCCATGAGCCAGGAGGGACAGACAGCAGAATCAATGCAGTGAGGTCTCCGGGGCTGGGTCTGGAGTTTCTTAGCACGTTGGGCGGGTCAGTGGGGAGAATTCCGGCAGACGGAAGCTGGGGAGCAGAAATTAATTTTTTCTTGAAGTCTGTTGTTGGAGGAAGGGTAGATTTGGTGATAAGTGAGAGACAATGTTTCTGGAATTGCGGGGGGAGACGTCTAGGTGCTTCTAAAAGCCATCAGAAGGTAACAGGTGTCTTGATTGGGGTTCTCTCAGAAGCAGTCCTTGAGGGTCCTAGTGCAAGTAGTTCACTGGGGAGGTGGTCCTGGAAGACACTGCCAGGGGAGTGGGGGAGTGAGACAGGGAAGAGAAAGCAGCCAACAAAGGGTGCATTATTCAGCCAGTTGCCACTGTGGGCAACTGGGGTGCAGTTCTGCCAGGCCTGCTGGGAGCCATCTTGCCTGGGGAGGGAGCTGGGGTATTTATACTTCCCCTTCCAGTAGTCAGTGGTTGCAAGCTGCTCCCGGGGGGTGTTAATTCTCCAGAACCTCTGGCCTGCCATTCATATGGGCACAGGGGGCTCCAGTGGCCAGAGCGAGGCCTGAGCAAAGGAAGGCAGGTGCTGGCAGCTGCACAGGCCAGGGTGCACTGAACCGTGAGGAGGGCCTATGGACGAGGCATCAGCAGTGCCTGCTATGAGAGCCTGGGCTCTTTGTGGCGTTCAGTGCGGCTTTTCCCAAAATGCATGTGTGGCTGACGAGCCCTGGAGAAGCTTCTCAAGAAAGAATTCTGGGGTCAGGAGAGTTTGGGAAAAGCAGCATTCTCTAACACCCTCTTGCAGAGTCCAATGTGCATGGATCAGTTAATGGCTGTTAGAGATCCTGTGATAGACATCTTTGTTTCTCTTTGCCTAACTTAGTTTTTCCCAAATTTATTTGACTTCAGAACCTTTTAAAAAACGTCTATAGCATTTTGCAGACCACCTTCTAACATCCGTAAAGGACGTCTTTTGTTTTTGCCTTCCTGGCATCCATTCCTCCTCCTTCCAAAGACGCCGATGGATTTGCTTTGGAAATGTTTATGAGGCTCAGGTGGACTGACTTAGCTGTGCGTGTGACCTAGGATTGGTCAATCATTATACCCCACCCCCTGGCCACAGTGATTGATTGACACAGGGACACGTGACCCAATTCAGGCCAATGAGACACTTTCCTGAGACTTTGGTGGAACTGTGGTAAAGAGCAGCTCTTTATCCATTGAGGGTGCCAACCCCTGAAGACATAGGCTCGGAGTTTTGCAGGCTTCCTCTTGGAGAGAGGCTGCCAGAGAGGGAAGGCACTGGAGAGGAAAGCAGAGTTGATAGAAAGGGAAATAGAAAAATTCAGTGCTGTAGCCTCAGCACCCAGATCCGATGTGCCTGAAGCCATCACTCCTTGATGAGCCAATCAAAATTTTTTTTTTTCTGCTTAGGTCAATTTGAGCCAGGCTTTCTGTCACTTGCAGCAAAAAGATTCCTAATGGATAACCATGGCTGCTATCGTTTCCACCAAATCCCAACCATAGTCAGGTCATCCTGGGCTAGTGATGAGCGCCTTGTAACCAATATGAGAAACCTCCAGACTCACCTTTTTCCTCCCCTACCCCATCTTCTAACAGCCCCTCAGAGACACCTGGATGAATATCCTACGGCAGGTAACCCATGTGTCCCGTGCACACGGGTCTGCCCACCCTCCTCCCTCATGCCCCTCCAGCGTCCCCTCTTCCTCATCAAGCCCCCCAGGGGACGCTCTGTGGGTTTTCCTAACTTCTGCTTTATTTATATGGTGTTATTAGTCTCAGAGCTGAGGAGCTCTCATTCCAAAATGAGGACGGCGTTTGGCGGCAAGAGCGCTAGAGGAAAGTGAGGAGGCTTAAGTTTTAGTCCTAACTCTGCCACTAGATGTCTGGACTTTGAGACCTTTGAGCATGTTGGACTTACGTTTTAAAACCTTCTCATGCTAGGATCCCTAGCCCCAAAAGATGTCCCTGAAAGTAAAAGACTAGGATCCCTTGTTGCTGAGAAGATTGGAAACGTTCAGGTCTGGCTGGAGCCAGAGGCCTAAATATTCACCAACTTCTTGTTTCTCTTCAGCTCTCCTTTCTCTATTGACCCCATTTTCACGGTCTCTCCCTGTGTGGTCATGCGATGGTTCTAGTGGCTCCAGGGGCCATGTCCTTCCGGGTCCCCATCCCTGGGAATGGGGGGAGGGGCGGCCAAAAAGTCCCAGCATCTCCAGCCAAAGCCCTAAACTTACTCTAATTGCCCTGGCTTGGGACACATGACTCCCCAAACCAATCACTGGCCAGGAGAATGTCATGTGCTGACTGAAGCCTGTGTCATATGCTTCACCTCAATTCTAAGGAACTGGAAATGGGGAAGGCACACAGAGAAAACTAGGGGCTATTGCTGGTAGAAGGGAGGGTGGCTGTTGAGATGCGTTTATTCCACACTTATTATTTCGTTGAGTCTACAACACTCCTATATATAAGGTAGAAAGAGCCCCTTTTGTAGAAAAGGAAACAGGCTCAGAGAGGTTAAGTGATTTGCTTAAAGTCACCCAGCAAATTCCAAAGTTATTTATGGAAATGCAGCCTACTTTGGGGTTGGGGAGGGAGGCTATCTACTGGTAAAAAGTTGGTGCAAAAGGAGAAAACGAAGAGGCAAACCAAAAGAAAAATTCCACAGAGAGTAAATTCTGCTTTGCACAGGAACTTTTGCTAGAACTCTTGGGAATAAAGCTCGATCTTTCCTCTGGGACCACTCAACAGGGAAGAGCTTCCAGGGGCCACCATGTGAAGGGCACCTGTGAGAGAGAAGGCAGCACAGAGGTGAGCAATGCCGAGGTGAGGGAGAAAGGTTCCTGAGAACGTGGGTTGAGTCCTGGACCCATT